TCCCTTAGCTCGCAAGTCTTCCTGCCACCAAAACAAAACAAAACAGATAAAGTCATAAAGCCAAGAGGAGAGGGAGGGGGTGGCGTTTAATTTTTGCTTTTATCCACAAAGAGATATTCATCCTCTTTTTAAATACAGAAAAAAAAAATCCATTCATGCAGTCTAAATAAAAAACTAGTTAAGAATAACAATGACCTGTGCAATTAAAAATTTGGATTAAATTATCTTTATAATTAATGAAATAATTTTTTCTGATGAAAATAAACATTGACTTTATAAGAGACATTTTGAAAAAAAAATGTCATGAATATTTCTTGAAATTTTATATTTTATTAATAAAAACAAAATTCATGATAATTTTTCTTATATTTAACAAAATGGAAAGAGTAAGCCGGATGGAATCGAGCAATGAAGCCTCAGCCAAAAAAAAAAAAAAAGCCAAAAATTAAAATCTCATCATTGAAGCGCGAGAAACCTCAGCCCCCACAGCCACAGGCACCGGGGTATTCTTTTTCATATCACCATTTATTTGAAGCCAGGTGTTCTGCATTTATACTTTCTTCTGTACTAAAAGTCGGTTGCACCGCAGCAATAAATATTAAAATATATTATATATAATTATATAATGGAGTATTATATAGAAAAGAAAACAATAAAAATTTCATCACATATATAAATAATAATATGTCTCTTCAAATGTTATAATTGTTCTGAAGGTTTTGGCTATTTTTTTAACATCAATAATTTTATATTAAATAATTAAATTATGTCTTGTTTAAAATAAAAATAATATGTTTAGCCTAATTTTTTAATCACAATTTTTATTTAAATAATCATAATTTTTATTTTATAAATAAAAAAAATTAAATAAAAAATTATAATTTTTTACATAAATTTTTTTATAATAAAAAAATTTTAAAAATAATTAATCCTAATTAAAATTTTTATTTAGGCAATCATAATTTTAATATTGTGAATTTTAAAAATTAAATAAAAAATCATAATTTTTTTATAAAATTTTTTTTATCATTGAAGTTTAAGTATTAAAAATAACTATTTATAATTTTTGTTTAAGCGCAATCACAACTTGTATTTTATAAATTATAAAAATTAAATAAGAAATAATAATTTTTCATGTGAATCTATTATTTTTATTTAAAAAAAATATAATTTTGAGTTTTTATATTTTGTTTAAATTTTGTTACTGATCCTTATACTTTTTTGATATTTTCGTCCCTACAAATTTTTTTATTATTTTAGATTCATTCATTGTGTAGGGACCTAAAATGTTAAAAAAAAATATAAGGATCAATTAAAATAATAAAAAATAAAAGTATAAGAACATAAAACACCAAAAAAAAACATAAGGACCAGTAACAAAATTAGAATAAAATACATTGACCGAAAGTTATATTTTTTTTATTTTAAATGAGGAACAATTTAATCATTTGATTTAAAATTATTAACGTTAAAAAATATATAAAAATTTTAAAAAAATTATAATATTTTAAAGCATCTCTTTAGACATTCAATAAGATTTTATTATTATTTTTTCTTGTTGCATGACTGGAAATGGAAATTAGAAATAGAGGAGGGGCATTATTGGTAATTTAGTAAAGAGGATGGTGACTGGGAACTGCGAAAGGAATACAGCCCGAGGGTAGCAGTCCGGCAACGGTCATGAGCATTTAAAAAACCGTGCCAGGATGTGGAAGCCACGTGAAATGTGGGGCCACGTTTTTATCCCTGCCCGGAGAATAATTATATGTTTATTTTTTTTTGTAACTAAAAAAAAAACTCATTCACTTCAAGTCTCTTGCCACTCGCACTCGTCTCTCAACTCTGTGTCTCATTGTGGCCACCACTCACACTCGTCTCTCACTCATTCACTTTATGTCTCTACCTTTACTTCTTCAAATCCTCAGTGAAGACCTTCATCGCCCACTGTCTTGTGATTGTGAGTGTAGGTTGCTGTCAAGTGTTACTCTCACTTGCTATGTTGCGAGCTCCCCTCCCTCACGATTGAAGCCTAAAGACTAAAGCTATTGGGAGTCGTGATTCAATGTCTCCCTACGAATCACAATCTGAAGAGAAGATGAAGGTTGAATGTTGCCAAAGTTGAAGCCTCAACCCTACTAATAACTCGTTCGCATCTCCCTTTTTCACGTCACGATTCGAAGTTTCTAACTACTCAAGCCTCGCATCTCCACTCCAAATTGGTAGATCCATAAAGTCTCGTCTGGCTTCTTTGGACAAATTGTGCAAATTTATTGGTTAGATTCTAAATCTACAAGTTGAATTTCTCCGCTTGTTCCTAATTTTATCATGTTTTTTTCTATAAATGTATTGCAATTTTGAAAATTTGCAAGTAAAAATTAGCTAATCGAAATCCACCAAGACTATTGCAAGTTAGCCCAACCATTTTTAAACATGTTAAAATGAATTGACTTTGGGTACGGATAGCCAACACCCATTTTTTCTTATATAGGTAAATTATAAGTAGCCCCTTAAACTAGCTTGTTTCACGTGTTACTCAATCTTGCTTGATTCAACCTCAAACATTTATACACTTTTTTAATATTATTGTGTTGTATTTAATAATTTTATATTAAATGATTAAATTATGTCTTATTTAAAGTAAAAATAACATGTCTAGCCTAATTTTTTAATCACAATTTTTATTTAAATAATCATAATTTTTATTTTGTAAATAAAAAAATTAAATAAGAAATCATAATTTTTTACATAAATTTTTTATAATAAAAAAGTTTTGAAAATAACTAATCCTAATCACAATTTTTATTTAAATAATCATAATTTTAATATTGTGAATTTCAAAAATTAAATAAAAAATTATAATTTTTTTGTAAAATTTCTTTTATTATTAAAGTTCAAGTATTGAAAGTAACTATTTACAATTTTTGTTTAAGCGAAATCACAGCTTATATTTTATAAATCATAAGAATTAAATAAAAAATAATAATTTGTCAGGTGAACCTATTATTTTTTATTTGAAAAAATATAATTTTGAGTCTTTATACTTTGTTCAAATTTTGCTATTGGTTCTTATATTTTTTTAATATTTTAGGTTCCTATAATTTTTTTTCATTATTTTAGATTCGTTCATTGTGTAGGGATTTAAAACGTTAAAAACATATAAGAATCCATTAAAACAATAAAAAATAAAAATATAGGAACGTAAAATATCTAAAAAAAAGTGCAGGAACCAATAACAAAATTAAAACAAAATATATTGACCTAAAATTATATTTTTCTTTTTTATTTTAAATGAGAAATAATTTACTCATTTAATTTAAAATTATTATTGTTAAAAAATATATAAAAATTTTAAAAAAATTATGACATTTAAAGTATTTCTTTAGACATTTCAATAAGATTTTATTATTATTTTCGTTGTTGCATAACTGGAAATGGAAATTAGGAACGGAGGATGGGCATTATTGGTAATTTTGTAAAGAGGAGAGCGACTGGGAACTGCGAAGGGAAAGCAGCCAGAGGGTAGCAGTCCGACAACGGTCGTAAACATTTAAAAAATCGTGCCAGCATGTGGAAGCCACGTGATATGTGGGGCCACGTTTTCATGCAATAGTAGTGTGTTTTTTCCCCAGCCCAGAGAATAATTATACGATCGATGATTGTTTCAGATTGAGGTACGATACAGGGGAAGGCAACAACTGCCATTCGGTGCGTCCTCGCGGGGAGACCGTGTTTTCTTTTCTTCGCTTTCCATTTCCGTCCTTTTGTGTTTACAACTATTTAAATTTAATTCTTGGTAAAATTATTATTTTAATTTTATATAAAATATTATAGTTTTAAATTATTTAGATTAAAATTTAATAGATTATAATAATTTTATCAAAATTTAATGAGTAAAATTTAATGATAAAATTATTATAATCTATTAAATTTTAATCTAAATAATTTAAAACTATAATATTTTATATAAAATTAAAATAATAATATTATAGTTTTAAATTATTTAGATTAAAATTTAATAGATTGTAATAATTTTATCAAAATTTAATGAGTAAATTAGCTTGATGGCCCAAAAAATAAAATTCCAATAAATTATAAATAAAATTTATAAATATTTTAAAATATGATACATTTATAAAATTAAATAGATGTGATTTTTTATTCTCAAAATAAATATATTATTAAAACACAATATATCTTCTACAATTAATCTTTAATTAATTGAATTGTGCATTTATAATTGTTCTTGTAAAAGAGGAAAGTCTCATATTCCAATTCTGTATGAATGGACAGAAATGGGAAAAAAGGGAAGTGTATGTGGTTTCGCACATGTTGACCTGCAATCTGGATTTTTACGCCTTCTGAATAACAGCTTGAAGGGTCAACTTCGCCATGGTTTTATATTTGAGCGGTTGATCTTGTGCGCGAGCGAGTGTTTTTTTTTTTTTTTTTATTAGAGAAATATATATTGGCAGTCTGAGGTTGCAAGTGAGGTTTAGCTCAGTGACCTCCTATTTGGAGGAGAGTTTGCGTGCCATCAGGTTATAAGACTATTAAAGGTTGACCGTGTTTTTCAAGTGGGGTGAATTTACTATTCGTCATGCCAACCAAAAAGCCATCCTATTTTTTTTTTTCCTGGATATCAGTATATCACAAACTCTGAATTAAAAAAAAAAAAAGGCACCCAAACGTACAGCAGCCTCCGATATTAGATTATTTTTAATAAATCGTGCCACCAGTGGGAGACAAAATGGTGGCACGACCAAGCAAGGCCTTGAAAAAAATAAAAATAAAAAACATGCAACTTCCGAGCTAATGTGTCATTGAACTCGAAACATAAAGAGCACTTGCAACTTCATTCCAAAACTCACCAGAGTCGTAGGCCATGTGTTCAAAGAATATTGTACGGGTTAAGGATGCAATCCCAAAAGCGTAAATCCCCCATCCCAAAAAGCAAAAACAAAAAAAAACAAAAACAAAAAAAAAACGAAAACGAAAACGAGAGAAAGAAAAAATCATTAGCTTTATTTAAAATTTCAGGTATATATTTTTACACATGTACAAGTATAGTCTCATGAAATGTACGATAAAGGCCTAAAACAGAAGGCTGTCAAAATCATAATTAAGAAGGAACGTGATCAGGATACCAAGTCCCGGAGGACTTGTTGGAATTCATATCTTCCCAGTAGAGAATGGGTCTGGATTTCTTGAAGGCAAGAGGCTTCAGCTGGTCAGCCTCCACTCTGGCCGCTATCTCAAACCGAACCCATTCAACTCTGCGCCTCTCGCGATTGTGCCATGCCTCCTCTTCCTCTCTACGTCTGTAATTTCTTCTGACCTCTCTTTCCAATCCTTTGGGGAGTTTGACAGCAGCTGATGCCTTTCTGCTTGCATCCAAGGAAACAGACACGGGATTTTCAAGCAGCCTAGGCCCCACGAGGCTCCTCCAAACTTTTTCACCAATACTCATTCTCATACTCAAAGGATGAAAAGAGCACGATCGCTTATTGTACTTGCGAGCACCGCGGAGACTCTTATCTGGAAGCAGCGGAATGGCATCCTGTGATATAGAAACAGTAGTTATGCGTAAACCAGGGTTTCGTTCTGCATCAGCAGCCAATGACGCGGAGCCAGGGATATGCGTACATAAATTAGTTGAATGCACGTGGATGACAACATAAAGGGCCGAAAATCACTCGCATACTCGTCCAACGTCATGCTTCCATCCATTGGCAGATCATAATTGGAAGAGTAATGGAAGGACACTTCTAGAGCTTTTCTGACTTGTAATGTGATGCCTTCAGCAACAAGGATGCGTTTCAGATCAGCATATGAGATATTCATCTGCACACGCTCCCCACAAAATTATGTTTTTAATTAAATTACAGTCAGAACAGTACAAATGTCAGCCGTATGCATGCATGCATGCATGTCAGTCATTTGCAAAGAAAGAAAGATGATGATGCTAGCAGTTAAATTTTCTGTGATAAGAGATTCGTCCGTGGGAAAACGGTTCTCATATGTGTCCTTGTATTGTTAGATTAGGTCTCAAGCTCTATCGAATCCAAACAGGATGTCAGGATCGACGAGGTATATACTTTCCATTACTAATTAAGATAATCATTGCCTGTCTCAAGGTTTCGATGGCTAAGCACTACCTACTTGGCCATTTGCTCACAAGAAACTGGTTAATCAAGTGGAATTGAGAATTAAATATCAAGAAATTCTTCACTATTATATTATTCCTAAAAGAGAATTCCTGCGGACAACTTCATCCCACAACATAAACACTGTTAGAGTGTAATTGAGTCCGCGTACGAAATGTTTTCTGCACAATTCTTCAGATGAAAAAACAAATATAAACATCGTTAAAAAAAAGTGTGTGCAGTTTTAGATGGACATGCTCTTGGAACAAGCAAGGGAAACCGAGTACAAATTGAAGAATCAAATAATCTTTTAAAGTAAGATTAAGAAAGAAACCAAAGGAAGTTGGATAACTGGCATACCGGCAAGGTAAGTGAGAGTTGATGAGGAGGATCGACCCGTAACTCATTAACCTTCCACTTCCAAGGTATCCAGTACAGCCCGGGAGTAACTCCATGAATCAGAGTATAAATCGGATTTTGGCTTTCTAAATTTGCTCCAAGACACAAATGTGTCCGAGAATTTGATAGTGGCAAACTGGCTCTTGCCCAACTTAATAGAGATTTCGTAGATCTGGGAGGTGTCAAACCTCGCCTCCCCAACGCCCAACTCGGAAATTCTTACATCCTTCAAATTCCAGTTCTCACTTGCTGAAATATTCTTCAAAACATCCTGATATGGTGTCGATGAAACAGCGACAAGTCGTCAGATGAAAACATGTATAGTCATATAACAGAATCAGATAAAGAGTGTAAGCAAGAAAGAAGAAACAAAAGAATCAGAATGTTCTTATAAATTAAAGAAATAGGCAGATAATGGGGCGCACCTGCAATGTGGGCAAGATTGGTCTGAGACGAAGAGGCGATTGCAGGAAGAGGAAAAGTAGATGCTAAATGTGAGGAGTGATAGAATTGGAAATGGATCAGAAGCAAGAAGAATAGCACCGGCATGGGATCAGTTGCCATTCTCGCCTTTTCAACGAAAATGGCTTCAGCTTGGGTTTCTGATTGCCTTGTGACGAATGTGCAAGCATGCAACGTATTTATTTATGACGGCAAGATTTTCCTTTATTTTTTTTTTCTTTTACTGAATTTTCTTATCGCCGGTGAATGGAGCAGGCTTGGCTTCCTAATCTAGTAGACACGTAGATCATTTGGCAGCTGCTTTTATCAACATGTCTTTCTTAACCAATCTATATACAAGTTCCTGAGTGAAGGAGGAAAATAGCTTTAGATTCAGAAGTCAGAACAAACTCCTCGAGTCCTCCCAACCACCAAGTACTGCCCGCCCAAAACTTCTACAAGAACTCCAGCAGCAATTCATTCAAAACGAAATTTTTGGAAAAATTACGTTTTATATCAAATACAAATATTGCAAATGCCAACAAAAAAGAAAAAGTATTCCATGACTTTGCCATAAAAAATACATCCGTACATTTTCACATGGTTGTGGAAGAAGCTGCTGCAGCTTCTTCTTCTTCTTCTTCTTCTTCTTTTTTTCAATTCGGCCAAATAATCAGTGAAGCTTCATTGTCGACCTTAGAGGCAGGCATCGGCACCATGAAGAGGCCTAAGAGTCAAGATACTACTGATGAGAAGGTACGAAACAAATCAATCAACATGTTGCTTTCTTCCCTGAGCCAAAAAAATACTGTTCTTTCTTCTTCAACTTTATTTTTCTGAAAGCCCTCTGCTCTCTCTCTCTCTCTCTTTTTGGGGGGGGGGGGGAGGGGAACAAAAATGGCCTTGCTCTTTTTCAGGAGCACGAATACTCAGAACGACTAGAGTAAGCATAGTCAGGTTTTCTCATGTCATCGATGAAACATGACATCAATGAACAAGATATTCACGCCGCACGTTTTTGAGAGTGGACAGCATATCTGGGCCAACATAGAACGAAGCCACCAACAGTTGATGTCAAAACATTGCCACGCAATTTTTGGCCGGAGGCAGTTTGAAAGCCTCGGATACCCTGGATGGAGGCCAGTATCGAAAAATGGATCTACCGACAATGTTCTTGATAGGTAGAGGACCCCTGACACACAGACACACACACACACAACACAATTGTCAGAGATCTTAATCTTAAAACAGGAGCTGTGTTTAATTAAAAAAAAAAGTCCCCCCCCCTCCACAACAAAACACACACAATTCTAAAACAAATTTAATTTTCTGATGGCAAGTGTACATATGACATATGCAAGACCTTCTGAGAATGACAGCATTCATGGATGGGCCAAAATGGATCTTTCATCCCTCTAAATCAATGCCTTCCAACAGAAACAATAAAAGATTAGTGATGAGAAGAAACTGGTTTTACCAGTTATGCGAATCAAAGCTGTTATTGCGATTGTCTCCCATCACAAACACATGACCTTCTGGCACAACCTGCAACCAGTTTATTATTTTTTTTTAAGGGAAAAAAAAAACCAAACATGTTGCCAATGGCAGGATCAACCAACCAAATTTCATTACAAGTTAGAAAGGAAAAGAAGCAAGCCAGCTCTGGTGTTGTCCGCATGCCCACTTAGCTGGGCAAACTGAATTCATGATCCAAAGCAGCTGAACTTGAGTTGAAAAGTTGTTTTTTATTCTTCTTCTTGTATTTTTAATGATTCGTTTGGTTCTTGAGCCAACCAGTTAAATTACAAATAATAATACATTTTTTAGGCCTTACCAGCGGGTCCATCTCATAAGCAGGTGGCTCCAGAATGAATTCTTCTTCTTGAGCAATACCATTCACCAGCAACTTTCCTTCACGAACCTACCAAAAATTCAGAATGCATCCAAGAAGTTAATAATCAAGGTGTGATAATTTTAAAAAGAAGCAAGAATAATAGCTAAAGAAGCCTTGAACCAAATGCCATCGTTGAGTCAATATTAAAAGCTTACCTCAACACAGTCCCCAGCCTTCGCCACAATTCTTTTTATAAATACATCACCTGAACAATAACCAATTTCCTACAAAGCCCCATATGTTAAAAAAGTAAACATTAATACCGCACCTCGGCCTCAGTACAAATTAAATTAACAGAAAAGCAAGAGAAGAAAAAATTCCTCAATCATTTTACCTGCAAAATAGGAGGCGCCTTAAAAATTACTATATCTGAAACATCAGGCCTTCTAAAGAAGAATGAAACCTGTTACATCATTCACAACAACCCATTGCAATCAGTTTATGAAAGCTGAGGCAAAATTGGAAGAGTTACCAAGTAAACATAACGTGCTATATTCCCGAATAAACCTAATCACCCACTTTTCAACTATAAGCAATAAGAAAGCATCATTAACCCTTTCTATGGGACTCAAGGAGACACATGCAAGAGAAGGGCATCGCTTCTTAATGCATGGAAGATAAGAATGATATCAGAGGGCGGAGGAAAAAGGTGATCTTTATATGTCGATAAGAGATTCAACGTCAGAACTTCGTCATTAATTGTACTAATAGTGATATTTTCCACAACATCTGAACTCAGCAACTTACTTCAAGGAATCCAGACGCAAATTAGAAGCCAAGATTCTCGCCATACTGGGGCAGATAATATATAATTTCTCCTGTTTTTTTTTTTTTTTTTGGGGGGGGGGCATGATAATACATAATTTCTTAATATAAAAGCACAGACTAAAAATACCAGCTAAATTTGTGAAGGACAAGAATTCTTCAAGGTCACCAACCTTCTCCGCCAAAATGCGGTCACCTACATCCAGAGTTGGGTGCATTGAGGACGAAGGAATGGATCTCGGTTCAGCCAAGAACGATCGGAAGAGAATACTAACAGTGGCTGCAGTAAACACAGCTTTCGCATCCTCTGAGTGGAGTCGTAAAGAGCGCGAAAGCCAGTTTGTCTTCTCAATAACGTTGGAACTGTACCCCGACTCCCCGTTATCTTCCCCGCCAAAGCAATGTGTTCCGCCTTTATCCACCACACAGCTTGTGAAAGAGGGAATCGACTGGTTACAAGGAAGCCACTTCGACCCCTGTAAAAAGGGTAAAATCGAAGTGGCTTTCCACGGGGATATACCGCATACAGCCGCACCCGCAGCACATGAACCAGATACACCGACAGTTGAACTCATAATCGAAATCAAACCCGATACGAACGGGTTTTTATAATTATAACCCAAAATTCCCGCTGCGACAGTCGTATATGTAGATGCTGAATCCTCACGGCAGCAACTGAATTTGGGCCGCCTGAAAAAGGAATGGTAACTACGGACGCCGCAAGGGGGTGAGGAATCAACATCAGGCTTCTCCTGGGAAGGACAGAATATGCGAGACCGGGTCCAGCATTCCCGGAAGCATGGGGTAGATGCGACTCGAACAACGGCCGACGGAACCAAGCTCCAGGCGACATAGCCAGAATAGCTGAAGGTAACGCGGCTAGCCATATCTGCAAAATTAACTAAGTTGATGAAGATTGGAGACAGCGGTTTCGCAGACCAAGAAATGAGATTAGGAAGCCCTAGCAATCAATCGGAGACATTTAGAAAGGGGGACAGGAGAGGAGAATTGAAACCACGAGAGAAAGGCGGGGTAGAGAATTGCAGGCAAACCAAATTCCAGGAGAAAGGGGATGATGGAGTTTTCAGGATAGGTGAAAAGCGGCTCGCGAGCCTTCTTCAGAAGCCGCTAAACGCTGCTGGGAATGGGGGGAAAATATAAGTTGTTTGGATTCTTTTGAGATCAAGATACGTAAAACCGGATCGATTATGATACTGGATCACAAGTTAGTGATTTAATTAAGGTTGAATCAGGGGTTGAATTGATGGTAAAACGGTCATGATTAAAATTAAGGTATGTAAAACTGGACCGGTCATTGAACCGGTCATGGCATTAGGTCACAGGTTAGTGGTTCAATTAGGGTTGAACCGGTGTCAAACCGATCATGATTAAAATAATACAATTTAAATAAAAAGACATTAATTATAAAAATATTCAACTAAATCCAACCACTCAAAAGTCTAACGGTAATAAAATATAACATTTTAAATATCTATCATTATAATTACAACTCTTCAATTTCAAAAGTCTAGAGAAGAGATGGAAATAGAGTTGGAGAAGAGACGGAGATTGAGCTGGAAAAAAGACGAAGAGTCAGAGACTAAGCTGGAGAAAAGATGAAGATTTGCGACAGAGATAAAGCTAGAGAAGAGATGGAGATAGAGCTGGAACCTGAAGAAGAGACGGAGACTAAGCTAGAGAAGAGACGCTGATTGGGTTAGGGCGAAAGAGGAGAGACACAGATGAAAGGCAGAACTAAATACTGTCTGAAAATCTGAATTGGACTTAACGTGCTCTACCTCTAATTTTTTATTTTTTGACTTTAGTTTTACTTTTTTTTTGTTATTTTATTTCTGAATTCAGCACTCTGAAAAATAAAAAATAAAAAAAAATCTCAAAAAAAAACCTAGTTAACCCAGTCAACTCACCGGGTTAACCGGGTTATATCGGGGTTGAACTTGGTTTGACCGAGTTATACCAGTTCATTTCCTCACCGGTTTAGGAGTAAACCCAGACCGAACAAGGGACCGGGTCACCGGTTTTCGGGTTGACCCGGTCGGTCCGGTCCGGGTTTCAATACCATGATTAAAATAATACAATTTAAATAAAAAGACATTAATTATAAAAATATTCAACTAAATCCAACCACTCAAAAGTCTAACAGTAATAAAATACAACATTTTAAATATCTATCATTACAATTACAACTCCTCAATCTCAAAAGTCTAGAAAAGAGATGGAAATAGAGTTGGAGAAGAGACGGAGATTGAGCTAGAAAAAAGACGAAGAGTCAGAGACTAAGCTGGAGAAGAGATGAAGATAGCAAAGACAGAGATAGAGCTAGAGAAGAGATGGAGATAGAGCTGGTTAGGGCTAGAGAGGAGAGATATAGATAAAAGGTCGAACTAAATGCTGTCTAAAAATCTGAATTGGACTTAACGTGCTCTACTTCTAATTTCTTATTTTTTGACTTTAGTTTTACTTTTTTTTGTTATCTTATTTCTAAATTCAGCACTCTGAAAAATAAAAAATGAAAAAAATTCTCAAAAAAAATAACCCGGTTAACCCAGTCAACCCACCGGGTTAAGGGTTGAACCCGGGTTGACTGAGTTATACCGGTTCATTTCCTCATCGGTTTAGGAGTAAACCCAAACCGGATAAGGGACCGGGTCATCAGTTTTCGAGTTGACTCGGCCGGTTCGGTTCAGGTTTCAATACCATGTTCAAGACAATTGATTTTGCTGTTAAGTTTTTTTTTTACCAGTATTTTGCAGTGTAGTTTTAGTAATATCGTTTATATTCTTTAAATAACGATATAATTTTTGCAGAACTAATACTTTATAATTAGCATTATTCAAATAAAAGCATGTTCATGAGATAAGAAAGAAACTAACCTATTTTTGAGTGATTTATGGAAAGCAAGCAGATAATGATGATGACCTTTTCAATTTCAATTAGGAGCATGTTTTTTAAAGGTGCAGCACGTGTTAGGAGCTTGGAAGATATAGAGAAGTTTGCCCCTAATTTTATCGGTAAACCTTCATTGATCAATATGTCAGTGATCATTGCTCGGAAGAAAAGGCCAGCGGAAGTTTTGTTTTTTGTATTTTTTTTTTTTGGTTTTTGTTCTAATGTTGCTTGTCCCCCCCCCCCCCCCAAAAGATGATTTGCCTTGGACTTTCACATTAACGAGCGCCAAAAGGCTAGAACATAATCGCAATATATTCCTACAAAAGATTTATTTAAAAAAAATTATATTAATTTTTTACATAAAAAAATTAATTATTATAAAGTTCATTGATAACTAAATTAAATTGTATTGACAACACAATCAATTATTAATGCAGTTTAATTTAATTATTAATAAATTTTACAATAATTAATTTTTTTATATAAGGCTTGATTATAATTTTTTTTTTAAAAAAAAAGCATGGAGGCAGGCAAGGTATAAGATGCAAAGCAGACCACCATTTATGGCAGCAAAGTTTATCTTCATGTCATTGCGAGAGAGAGAGAGAGAGAGAGAGAGAGAGATTGTTTAGAAACCAGTTGGCCTCCACATTTCCTGACCAAGGCCATTCAGAACTTGCAAGACGAGCCTCCACGATCCACAGTCATCTGACCTGCGTGGAAGTTGATTGTTGAGTGGCGTCCCAACATCTCCCCCTCACATCGCTGGTGTGATAACGCTCCCCAACCTCGCAGCAACAAATCCTCCGATACATTACATGTCCCCCTCCCTCCACGATCAATACTTCCTCAGGACAGGAACTGGGCTTTCCTTACTTGGCCCATCATCATCCGACCCAACTGGCCCGAACTTCAACCACACATCCCACAACACACTCGTTTGTTTCTCTCACGCATGCCATCTTATTAGTCCAGCCCAAACGACAAAAATCGGTATTTTTTTTTCTGGAATGACTTTTTGGTCACGATGAAATGCAAACCCGGTGAGCGGCTTCTTTTTCTATTCTTCTTCTTCTTCTTCTTCTTCCGTACACATGGCCGTTGGATTGAAGGAGAAAAGGGGGAACAAGAAGAGGAAAGAAATGATTGGTAATGAGAATGTCTCCTAGGCTGAGTGTGGAGCATGTTTGCCATTTGCCAGTTAAATCACGCGCGCTGCCAAACTCATGAATATGAGGACGAGTGGGCCCTCGTCTGCGACCATCTTTTAATTCTCTCACTGCACTCGCCTCTTTATTCTCTGAAAGGATCCCATTCAGATTTCAAGAATCACTCGTTTCAAACCGTAACCAAATAATTTTAGGTTTAAAAACAAAGCCATGTTGTTCAAGTTCGGGCTTCGTTAACTCGAAAGGGCGTGCAACATTTTGTCGCAATTTGAGTTTGACCGCCTGCCTTCCAAATTAAATTCAGAAGCAATGCCCACGCCTCGGACCCCACATCGTATTACGCCTCTTCCCATCATCTGTATCCTTCCTATAAACAAGTGCCTGCATTTGGAACATCTTAACAGAAACAATACATCATAATAGACACACGAGATATATTTTAAAATTGTTTAATTGTTTAATTGTCTTCCATTAAAGGGCCGTTCTCAGCTCTCACGTCTCACTTAACTCGGCAAGTAATGAGCATGGGTGCGAGAGCAACCTCGCCGTGAAGCGAGAACCGCTCCAAGCACTACGAGGTATTCTCGCAATGAAATCAACAAATCTCAATGGCGCCTGCTAATTGTACAAACTTTCATGCTTCGAATATGGCACATAGTCTAGGCCCAGAAAAGGGGGAAAAAGTTGGCACATAGTTCACAGTTATCTGATCCTTCTCTTTCCGGCTCCGAGCCATCAATAGCATTTCTTTAATAAAGCATTATTTATTTACTCAAGCACCATTTCCTTCCTTTTTTCTTCAGAGGAACAAAAGTATCCTCTCCTCATGATCGCGCTGACATCTTTCTTCTTTTATATATATATATATATAGCTATTAAAATTCGAGACTAGTAAACACAGGCAGTGGGAACTCCGTCTGGTTTAGCAAGCACGCGATGGAGGAGAGGCCGGAGACGGAGCTGATATCAATACCGGCGACGCCGAGAGTGTCGACGCCCGAGATACAGACGCCGTCGGGTCAGAGGTCGCCGAGACAGGGGTCCAAGGAGGCGAAGTCGTCGAACGCGTGGACTCCAACGTCGTTCATATCGCCCCGGTTCCTTAGCCCCATCGGAACGCCCATGAAGAGGGTGCTGATCAACATGAAGGGTTACCTGGAGGAGGTGGGCCACCTCACGAAGCTCAACCCTCAAGACGCATGGCTTCCTATCACCGAGTCTCGCAATGGAAATGCTTACTACGCCGCCTTTCATAACCTCAATGCTGGTGTTGGCTTCCAGGCCCTGCTTTTGCCCGTTGCCTTCGTTTATCTTGGCTGGTACATTTCTTCTCTCGCTCTCTCCCATCCTTTTTCTCCAGGAAAATAATTCACCGCTTTCGTACCTATTATTTGTAGACATTTTAACCCTATTGTTAATTTGTTACACACAACACTGAAGCCGCCCTGCCCCCAACACCCCCGCGCACACACAAGCCAGTGCCTTCTGAGCTACAGTAAGACATTAGTTATTTGTTTAAATGAAGAAGTGTGAGGTGCATTTGTTTTCTGCCGCACCACGGCGCCAGCATAGCATATGAAGTTGCTTTAATTATTATAGTATTAATCACTGTTGCTAGTTCCTTCTGTCCATAAACTTTATTTTTCGTTATGCTGAAAAACTGTCTCTCTTTAGCCTCAAATACTCATGAGACATGATAGCTTGAAGGATTTCCAAACACGCTCGAGTTAACCCGTTTGGTGCTTGAGGCTCTAGCTTTCCCTTTCTCCGAAGCTGAATATTTTCAAGGAAATAGTATCACAGATTCACAGTATCATCCTTCACTGGGTCCACCGGTAAAACTGTCCAAATTCTTTATTTTGATGGCTATAGACATCTTTTCCTGCACCGTTGAGCGTCTTGAGAGCACTTTTTGACCGTGACTTCTTTTTTGGTCTACGCAATAAAATACTGCAAAATTTGTCCAATAGGATTATTGGACTGATTAGCAGAGATTATAGATTAATGAGTTGGGGAAATATTCTGCAGGAGTTGGGGAATTATTTCCTTGATCGTAGCATATTGCTGGCAACTATACACCCTATGGCTTCTGGTTCAACTCCACGAAGCAGTTCCAGGGAAAAGATACAACAGATATGTGGAGCTCGCCCAGGCAGCATTCGGTAAGCTACAAGTTCAAACCAACGCATACCATCGACTTCTGTTCTTTACCTCTCCGTGGTTTGACGCTAGATGCATTTATTTTATGCAGGGGAAAGATTAGGCGTGTGGCTATCTCTGTTTCCAACGGTTTATTTGTCGGCAGGAACAGGAACGGCTTTGATTCTATTCGGCGGGGAGACCATGAAGTTATTTTTCCAAATAGTTTGCGGTCCTTCGTGTACCTCCAATCCCTTGACCACGGTGGAGTGGTACCTCGTCTTCACTTCCTTGTCCATCGTTCTCTCTCAGTTGCCGAACCTCAATTCAATCGCTGGGCTTTCCCTCGTAGGGGCTGTCACGGCCATTACTTACTCCACCATGGTCTGGATTCTCTCCGTAAGCCAACAGAGGCCACCCTCCATCTCCTATGCACCTCTGTCCTTGCCGTCCTCTTCTGCTTCTGTTTTCTCCGTCATGAACGCCCTTGGAATCGTAGCTTTCGCTTTCAGGGGCCACAATTTAGTGCTCGAAATTCAGGTATGCTAATCACGTTTCTCTAGTTTCACCTTACTAAAAGCAACTCGAAGGTTTACGCAGGGTTAATTTCTTCTTTATTTCAGGCAACGATGCCATCGACTTTTAAGCACCCTGCTCATGTGCCAATGTGGAAAGGTGCCAAGGTTGCATATTTCTTCATCGCAATGTGCCTCTTCCCTGTTGCCGTTGGAGGTTTCTGGGCGTATGGAAATCTGGTAAGAGTTTTCCAGATTTCTTAGTACCTGATGCCTCGTATTCATTAATTAGGCAGGGTTGAATTTAACACTGGTTGTCAATTGGGCGGTTGGCTGTTACAGATGCCTCAAGGAGGGATTCTGGGGGCTTTATATGCATTTCACAGCCATGACATTTCAAGGGGGCTTCTTGCCTTGAATTTCCTTCTTGTCGTGTTTAGCTGCTTGACCAGTTTCCAGATATACTCGATGCCTGCTTTTGATAGTTTTGAAGCAGGGTACACCAGCAGAACTAACCGTCCCTGCTCGATATGGGTGAGGTCAGGCTTCCGAGTTTTCTTCGGATTCGTGTCCTTCTTCATAGGAGTGGCACTTCCCTTTCTCTCGAGCCTGGCCGGTTTGATGGGAGGACTCACTCTTCCGGTCACTTTTGCGTACCCGTGCTTCATGTGGGTTCTCATAAAACAGCCCACCAAATACAGCTTCAACTGGTATTTCAACTGGATCCTGGGTTGGCTGGGAGTTGCTTTTAGCCTGGCCTTTACCATTGGAGGTATTTGGAGCATAGTCACTAATGGACTCAATTTGAAATTCTTCAAACCTAGCTGATTTCCTCAACGTCATGTAATTGGTAGCAGTGCCTTCATATTATGCACTTTTCTTATGTCGGCTGTGTGTCAGCTCCTTCCTGAATGCTTTACATATGTATAACAGATATCAGGTAAAAAGAAATCGTTCTTCACTTGAACGGCTGCAATATGAGATGCTTTCCTTGCTCAAGTTACTTTGCGACTTATCTTCCCCGATGAGATTCATGTCACATGAACCATTCATTATTTAATAATAATTTTAGTTTTGGTCCCGTTGATATAATTTGCAAGCAGTTCTCTTTAATATTCGCGGTTAGCTGTTAAAAAGAATAGGGGTAAAATAGAAATATTCGCTGGTGACAATCATATGCATGTTATCTCCATTCCCGGATGCGAATACGGAAAAGATTTATAGCTTCAATTCAAGAAGCAAGAAATATTCGCTGTCTACCTAGTAGCTTTTCCGTTTAATAGTACATCATTGGGCTTTGGGTTCGATCACGGAAACAACGTCATTGAGGTTGTTACCAAAACATGGCACTAGAGAAGCAGCATGCAATCCTGAGCTTTTCCTATCTCATTACCACGTCGACCAGTCAAATCATTGATGTTGGAGGACACTCAATCATCTAGCAAGCAAAGAAGTAATGACCGAAATAAAGCGAAAGGGCAAAACCAGAATGCGAAGTTCATGTTGACCGTCTTTTGAATGCTATTAAAGTAAAGATGGTATTGGGAGGTCTCTAGTTGAGGGGCTTCGATGGCGGTGGTCGGTGGCGCGAATAACGTAATGAAGCATGAAGCGAGGGAAATGAGGTTTGACAATTTGACCCAAAGCGCGACGTGGCACATTTAGGTGGCTCTAGTGCAGCAGTTGAGGGCTGACATGGCATCATGCTTCGTGCTTCAATCCTTAACTTCTACTTTCTTCCCAAACTTCTTCACATGCTTTGTGTGAAGATTTTAATATTTCTATCTTTAACAATTCATCCTGGACTGAAAAAACTTCATGATTTTAAATATGATTAAATTTTAATCTCTCTTGCATGATTTTCCATTATTTTGTATTAAAAATAAACGGTGAAGTTTGTAATGATTTATACATATTATCTCTTCAAGGGATTCACTTATAAAGAAAGAGTATGTCACATTAATCTTCCCAGAGTTTTGCTGAAGTTGTAACTTCTTATCCATTAAAGATACCTCTAAGATAATGTATTCTTAAAGTAACTTTTCTTCGGGCCAACAAAACAAAGTATCTCTCTATGACGTAATTATGCACAAGTGGACCAGGTTATATGAAATGTCGAATTAATTAAAAAAATTGGTTAATTTTAGTGGTTCAAGTCTTGAAAGCGGCATCAAAAGATGCATTATTCATAAAATCCGTGCAGAAAATCCCACCGGGCAAAAATTACTCATTTATTGTTATCGAAGGAGTAACGAGAAATACGCGGTAACTCAATCCACGAAACTATCTGGACTGTTAACTCTGAAAGATAATAGCAACACAAGGTCACAAGCAAACATAGAAAACTAGCAATAATGTAATGCTTACTTACTGGAGCATATGATATTGCTGGTACTATTATTCAACTAGGAACGACACATCCCTGCCATCTAAAGTTCCCATGCATACATGCACTGGTGAAATTTGGAGCAGATCTGACATCTTAATTCCTGGGCCTGATTTTCACATGCAGGGGTTGGAGCTTGTGTGTGGTGAGGCCCACAGTATCCACATTGTCTTCTTCCCCTCCCACGAGCTCCCACTCAAACTCCTGAACAAGTCTGCCAATTGCAATGCAAGATATTAGCATGGCCTGGAGGGAGCCTGCACACACCCTCTTTCCTGCTCCAAACGCCATCGTCTTGTACAAATCCCCGCTATCATAGCTCCCATCCAGAAATCTCTCTGGCTTCCACTGGAAAGGATCCTCCCACTTCTTCTTGTCCATGTTGCATCCATATATGTTTATTGCTATCTGGTCAACACCATATTCTCGTTATCGGTAGTCCCATCATATCATTACCCACAAACCCTAGAAAGTAATTCAGACAAAGAGATCAATTCACCTCGCTTCCCGCGGGAATGTGATATCCTCCCAACTGGGTGTCTTCGTGGGCGTATCGAAGAGGCACAATTGGAACAGGACTGTGCTTCCTCAACGTTTCATGGAAAACAGCCCCTAAATATGGTAGCTTTGATAACTGTTCTTCCACGGCCTTCTCGTGTCCACAAACATTTCGGAGTTCCTCATACAGTCGCTCCTGCAATCCAAATACAATGCCAATTGATTGATTATTCACACCGACCAGTCTATTCTTTGAAAAAAAAAAAAAAACAGGACAAATGGAGAAACAAATAAACCTGTCTGCTTTTGTCCCTGGCAAGTTCATACATAGCCCATTCCGAAGTCACTAGTGTTGTATCTGATGTCTCGACAATGGTCTCCCAAAGCAGCATAAGAATCTGGTCTTCAGTCAGTTCTTTTGATTCAGATGATAACAAATTGTGAAGGTAACAATTGACTACCTATAACATTCAATGGGAGAGGAATCAGGACAGCCACCATTACCCTTTTTTTGCGCAAATTAAAGTTGTAGAAATACTCAGGTAAACTCACCGTTCCAGATGCAATTCGCTTCTTTTGATCGTTCATCAATGCCCTCATAACCGCTCTTCTGCGGAAATCGACTCCACGAATTTTTTCCTCCATGCTTTTATTCGGAACCCATTTCAGGTATGGGAAGAAATCGCGCCAATCCACCTCGATGGCACCCTCCATCAAGTCAAGTACTAAAATCTTATATATCTCATCTTTTGATATGGTGCTGCCAAGCTCCTCCACATGGAGGGCATTCACAGCCTCTCCCACGACCTGCAAATGTCATCCTTCTCAATCTACTAATCGTCACTCTATGCCCTGAAAAGTACTAATATGAAATGAAAACTTACTAGCTTTAGAGAGAGTGCAAAAAGTTCAGGCGCAAATATATCCCTGAAATTTATAGCCTGGTCCGGGGAGGTTTTCAGAAGTTCATTCAACTGCTTTGACATGTTGTCCATCATGGCTTCTCTGTGGCAACGGTGTTGCTTCTGAAAATTGGTTGGAAACAACAACAACAACAACAACAACAGATAGATCTCACGGCTTCTTTGGCAATCACGGGAAAATGATTACCCATGCTCAAACACTTAACAAGGTAACCGGAAAATTCGTTCATGCAACCAACCTGTGCGTTCGCTCCCAGAACGTTTGAGAGAATAAGTCTTTTGATCATTTTGTGAAAATCAGTGTAGTCACTCATAGCAACCATACATTTGTTAGAAGTGAGAATCATGAGTGCATTTGACAGCTTCCTTGATGACATGGAGGAATATCTAGTCACCATCGCCTGAAACAGCCATAAAAGTCAGAGGCCACTCAAACAGCAGAGAGGTAGGATGAAGAGCGTTGGCTCCGGCAACTAATTGCGAAAAGAAATAGCGCTTCCCATGGATTCAACTAACAAATTGACACATCATATATGTTACAGACCTCCTTGGCCACCTCGGTGGTGTTGAGTACGACAAGAGTGGAAGCACCAGCTCGGATGGAATAAATTGGTCCATATTGCTGAGCCCACTGCGTGAACGTCTTGTAAGGCTTTTTATCCTTCAGCTGCAGCAGATTCCCGATCAGGGGTAGTCGTCCTGCAACCTCTGTGAGGAATATTCCACCGTTCATCATTTCATTTTCATGCAACGGCATCTTTTGTGGACGAATTAATAGAATATGATCATACAATTAATTAGTTGATGCATTTGACCGAGTTTGATGACATCAGCATTCGAGATTCATGGTTCCAAAAGCCAAGAGAACTTTAATCCTCAAAATAACTAACCACGGACAATAATACCTGGCACTGTAGGAAGCTTAGAACGCTTGCTTTTGAAGAAGCTGCTGAATCTTCCAAGCAAGAAGATGAACAGAAACAGAGAAAAACCACCCAACGCAACAGTGGTGGCAAGGGCCCCTCCGGCAACGAGTTCATAGATGTCTCTCACTGAAGCCATTGCTCTATTACAGATAGATATTCGTTCTATTTTTTGGTTAGAATTAGCAGGGTCCTGTTAAGGAGACCTGTATTAATAGCATTTACAAGTTACAACCACCTAACATGGAAATTACTCGGATGTCCCCATTTCTTTCAATGTCAATTATTAATTAAAGGGAGGGGGTTCAATGCTGTTATTGCTAACAGAAAAAATAGCATTGTCATCGTCACTGATATTGCGAGAAATTGAGATTTTAATGTGGTTAATTTTTGAATTGATTTATTTTTTAAATGTCTTAAAAAATGACAAAAAGCGTTCACACATGAGAATTGGCATAATACTATAAGATTTATTATTTGCTAGTACTTTTGCAAGAACCAAGAGAAAATCTGGAGCATTAAATGTTCCTGCAAACAGGGACATGCATGTACTCAAGGGTAATGAAGCATTTCCCCTGCTTTTTCTTCCAACCAATGAGCCGATGATAATAAATGGAATCAGATGTTTCCGCACAAGGTGCACTCACGAAAACTTTCATGAATGTATCATATGTCATTTACCCAGCGCTGTACATTCTTTGTCTCGATATATCACATACTTTGAATGTTCCTCGTGAGTAAATGTAGATAATATCCAAATTTATAACTATAAATATTAAAAAAGTAAATGCTATTAAATGCATTAATTAAATCTATTTATTTTTAAAGAATTAAAATGAAATAGAGCTGATAATTGAAGTCAATTCAAAAATATTTAGCACCTGGAGTAATAAAATAACGCATAATGTTTAACTTATTAATATTTGTCCTTATTTATTATTGATATTTTTAAAAAATTTATTAATTATACACTGAAAAATTAAAAATATTTTATAGTTTTTAATATACCACCATGTCTTATATTTTTTTAATAGATGGTTATTAAGCATTGATTTGAAATTTTGAAAAAAATATTCCTAAAAACAAATATAAAAAAAATGGACGGAGTAATTATTATTTTGTGATTTTAATTTTTTTTAGAGTGATTGCTGATTTCTTTTACTTTTTTAAAATTGTGAATGCATATCCTCTTATTGAATGCGGGCATATATTTTGGTAAAGATTTAAACATTAATTTAACATGTTGTGGGGGATTATTTCTCTTGCTAGACCCAGCCCTATTGGCAATTACTCCTGCTTTAGGATTTTAATAGATTGTTTTTTTTTTTTTATGTAGGAGTCCCGTGGATTTTAATATAACAACTTGAAATTTTATGTGCGCACATATATCTTAGCATTTCCTCTTGTTTATATTATAAGACATCTATAGATATCGCCGAAATTAAGGAAATATTGTTAAGTAATTAACTTTGTTTTAAAAAAAGAAATTTTTAATTTACTCTATTTAAATAAACAATTTTCAAATGTATAATGTATCATCTCTTATAATTAATAAATTTAAATAGAGATAATTAAAAAATATATTCAATAACTCACAACGTGTTTTGTATTAAGGGCCATCCATCAATCTCTTATAAAAGTCACCTTATATTTTTTTGATTTTATTTATAAATCACTTTTAATGTATTTCTTTAGAATCAAAGAAAACCCCAAAATTGAATAACTATGTTTAAAAATTTAATAAATTTTTAATTTTATCTCCATTAAATATATACATATATATATATATACACACACTTTAACAATTTATTTTTTCTCTAACATTCAATCAAAGATAAAAATAAAAATTTGTTACGAAACTTTAATAATATGACTTATAAATGAGATAAAAAAAGAATCTTTTTTCTCTGACTTATAAATAAAATCAAAGAGAGTATTTCTATAATACTATTTACTGGTCAAAGAGAGAAAATTAATTTTTGATTATATTTATATAACACTTCATTATTTTCTATATTCATCTCTACCTTTTTTTAATTATATATTAAAAAAATTATTTAAAATAATCCTTTTTGTTTTAATTAAAGATAGAAGTGAAAAAATATTAAATTTTAAAATTTTATTTTATTTTAATAAAATATATTAAAAATTATTTGTAAATAGTATTGGAACTAGAAATAAAAAGAAGAGGGGGTATTAATAGAAAATTATTGAGACATGGGCGGGGATAATTGACTTGGATGCGGAAGAAATGCTGCCATTCCTGAGAACGAGAAGGCATGGCAACATAATGGGCTTTGACCATGAGAACAACCTCCAGTCATTTACCACCATAATTATCTTGTCCGGATTGCACGATCACGCGGTGGCCCATAATTGATAGGACATTTGTTAATATCTTCTCCTTCATCATATCTCATCGCCTCCAATGTGGTCATCCAGATTGTCACCTGAGCCCATCCTCCTCTCCATTAATTATTTCCTGCTTATTATATTGCCTTCCTCTTGAGTTATAAAATATTTTTTAAAAAATTAACATCTTAAAATATAAAATATTTTAATAAAAATATAGTTTTATTAAGAAAAACATAATTATTAATCTCTATGGTTTCATCAAATTTTATTTTTAATTTATGTAGTTTGGTTTCAATGTTTTCAATTTTTATAGAGACTCAAACTATTAAAAACACTGAAATTATAAGAATTCAATTAACAAATACCACCAAATCTTATTGAAACTATAGAGACTATAAATATTAAAAAAAATATGGAGAGTAAAAGCAAAACTTGTAAAGCTATAAAGATTTATGCTTATATTTTTTTTATTAATGATACTTTTTTAACATTATTCTTTTTATATATTCTCTTTCTTTAATATTCTTTCACTAGTGAAATATTAAATGATGGATATTATTAAAATTTTATATTTTTATCTTAAAAAAAAGGTTATAAAATATATTTAATAAACTTTATTAGTATGTCTAAAGTTGTTTAAGAATATCTTTATAATTTAGAATGAAGAGAGTATTATATTTTATGGAAGTCCCATTTTGTCTGAAATATAAAATATAAAGTAACTTATTAAAATATAAAAAAATATTTTTTTAAATTTTGATTATCTTCAAAAGTTTAAACAAGTATCATAAAAAATCATAAAATAAATTAAAAAAAATAAGTTATTTTTTCATGAAATAAGCAAAACAAATGGGCCCTACATTCAGTTTAATTAATTTAAGTCATGCACTATGAGGAAAAATAATATCAATTGACATAAACAAGGACAATTGAATTCAATTAAATGAAATCCAATTAAGATAATGGCTAATTCTAGCAGTTCAAGTCTCCAAAGGGACTTTTAAGAGATGAATTTTATCCATAAAACCCATGCAAAAAATCCATTCAAGCGCAAAAATAATAATACTATGTTTGGATACATATAGATTTAAATTTGTATTTAGATTTGAGTCAAATTTATTATTTAGGTAATTAAAAATGTATGAATTTGGATATAACCCAAATTTAAATTTAAATTCTACATCAATCTTTTTGTAATTTAAAACCCTTTTTCTATTATTTTAAATTCTAACTCAATTTTTTTTTTTTGTAATTTGACCTAAATCCACAAAGGTTTGATTGGCACGTCAATAGTGACTGGATCGGACCACCAAAGCTAACAGAACCAAACTGCCACCGTTGATTAGGATCAAATAGCCACTGTTGATTAAGACTACACTGCCGGCGCCCATTGAGACTATGTGATCAACTGCCATTGGGACCAAACTGCCTGCACTGGTAAGGATCTAAGTGCAGTTGACAGGGACCAGATAGCCTACTTTCACCATGATCGAGTAGCTTGTGCAGTTTCGGTGGAAGTAGGCCATTAGGTCTCGATCGTCGCCATCGATTTGGTCCCAGTGAAATTGAACTGTCCGATCCTGATCGTCGCTGTTAGTTTGGTGTCGGTTGTTGCTGTCAATTTGGTCGTGGTGAAAGCCAATTATCATAGTCGGTCTGGTCCTCGTGGAAGTCGTTATCCTGTCCTGGTCATCATTGTTGATCTAGTTTAGGTGAAAGTTGACTGTCCAGTCCCAATCAACATTGACAATCTAATCTTGATAAAAGTTAGCCATTCGAACCGTCACTTTTGACTAGAAACAAACTGCCTACGTCATCCAAATTTCTTTTAAATTTAAAATTTAAAATTTAAAATTTTACTTAATATCTAAACAAAGGATTTCAATATTATAATTTAAAATTTATCATTCAAACAAAAAATTTTAAATTTATGAATTTTAAATATAATATTTTAAATTTAATTTTTTAACTTAAATCCACCCATTCAAGCGGAACATAAAAGTAGTTAGTTAGAAGTGGACAACTCCATGCACAAAATAATTTAAGAACTTGATTAAAAAATTCTTAAAAGTATATTCAAACTATATCTGACATGTACTATCATCAAACCTCATAAATAGTTAAATATGTTAAATAGATTTTTATTAAATGTAAATTAAAAACTAAACTCACGCTAAGTAGTTCTTATTGAAGGATGATAATAGCCAAAAGGGGGAAAGCAGGGTTATAAAGTTGCCATGTCTCAGAGACACATGTAGAGTTCAATTTTGGAAGAGAACCAGAGTGACCAAATCCTCCCCGTTAATTCCTGGGCTTGATTTTCGCAAGCAGGGGGTAGCGCTTGTGTGTGGTGAGGCCCATAGTATCCACATTGTCTTCTTCCCCTCCAACGAGCTCCCACTCAAACTCCTGAACAAATCTGCCAATTGCAACGCATGCGATTAACGAAGCCTGAAGGCTGCCTGAACACGCCCTCTTTCCCGCTCCAAACGCCATCGTCTTGTACAAATCCCCACTGTCAAAACCCCCTTCCAGAAACCTCTCCGGTTTCCACTCGTACGGATCCTCCCACCTCTCCTTCTCCATGTTGCATCCATATATGTTTATTGCTATCTGTTGAACACAATTTTCTCATTATTGGCAGTCCCATCATATCATTACCCTTAAAACCTAGAAAGTAATTCAGACAAACAGATCAATTCACCTCGCTTCCGGCGGGAATGTGATATCCTCCCAACTGGGTGTCTTCGTGGGCGTATCGAAGAGGCACGATTGGAACAGGACTGTGCTTCCTCAAGGTTTCATGGAATACAGCCCCTAAATATGGTAGCTTTGACAACTGGTCATCAGTGACCATCTCTTGTCCACAAACATTTCGGAGTTCCTCACACAGTCGCTCCTGTAATCCAAATACAATGCCAATCGAGTGAATATTCACACAGACCAGCCTATTCTTTTTTTTTTTTTTTGGGGGGGGGGGTAGCACAAACGGAGAAACGAATAAACCTGTCGGTTCTTGTCCTTGGCGAGTTCATAGATAGCCCATTCCGAAGTCACTAATGTAGTATCTGATGTCTCAACAATGGGCTCCCAAAGCAGCATCAGAATTTGGTCTTCGGCCAGTTCATTTATTTCCGATGATGATAATAGATAGTCAATGTAACAGTTTACTCCCTATTACATTTAATGAGAGAGGAATTAGAACAGCCACAATTATTTTTTTTTTGGCACAAATTAAAGTTGCAGTAATACTCTAAGGTACCCACCATCCCAGATGCAATTCGCTTCTTCTGCTCCTTTATCAATGCCCTCATGACCGCTTTTCTGCGGAAATCGATTCCACGAATTTTGTCCTCCATGCTTTTATTTGGAATCCATTTCAGATACGGGAAGAAATCGCGCCAATCCACTTCAATTGCACCCTCCATCAAGTCAAGTACTAGAATCTTATACATCTCTTCTTTTGTTAAGGTGCGGCCAAGCTCTTCCACATAGAGGGCATTCACAACATCTCCCACAGCCTGCAAATTCCATCGTGCTCAATCTACTAATCCTCACTCTATACTCAGACAATTACTAATTAAAATTAAAAACTTACTAGCTTTAGAGCCAGTCCAAAAAGTTCAGGCGCAAATATATCCCTGAAATTTACAGCCTGGTTGGGGGAGGTCTTCACATGTTCACTCAACTGCTTTAACATGTTGTCCATCATGGCTTCTCTGTGGCACCTGTGTTGCTTCTGAAAATTGGGGGAAACAAACAAACAACAACAACAAATAGATCTTCGCCTTCTTTGACAATCACGGAAAAAGAATTAACCGTGCAAAAACACTCCACAAGGTAACCAGAAAGTTCATGCATGTAACCAACCTGTGCATTCGCTCCTAGAACGTTTGCGAGAATATGTCTTTTGGCCCTTTTGTGAAAATCATTGTAGTCACTCATAGCAACCAAACATTTATTAGAAGTGAGAATCATAAGTGCATTTGACAGCTTCCTTGATGAAATGGAGGAATATCTGGTGACCATCGCCTGAAACAACCACGAAAACCAGAGGCCGCTTAGCCAATTTTTTCAAGTCATACAGACAGCACTGAGGTGGAATGAAGAGCGTTGCTCCGCTGCATGTGCAAGGTTCCCGCAACTAACAGTGAAAACAAGTAACATGGCACATGGCATGTGTTATAAAGAGTAAACAGACCTCCTTGGCCACCTCGGTGGTGTTGAGAACAATAAGAGTGGAAGCACCGGCTTGGATGGAGTAAATTGGTCCATATTGCTCAGCCCACTTTGTGAAAGTCTTGTAAGGTTTCTTCTCCTTCAGCTGCAGCAGATTCCCGATCAGAGGTAGCCGTCCTGCAACTTCTGCGACAATTGTTTCACCCAATTCCACCATTCATCATTTCATGTAATGACATCATTTGCGGACGAATTAACAGAACATGATAATACAATTAATTGCCTTATAAAAAAAGTCGTACACAATTCTCTAGGTTTGTTTTTCATAAGATAACCAACCGGTTTTTTCCGGGCCTAGCGTGTTTCTGAGTGTCAATCGCTACAGAATACAGCCGTATGGTGCACTATTTTTATTGATAAGAAAATCGGATTTGAAAGTTTTGTAGGTTGGGCATTTTCTTTCCCAGAGGTCGAGCTTCTTCCGACTTTTTCTTCACAGTTTATCTCCTTCCCCTTTCGCTCCTCCGCTTTCATCTTCTGAAACAGAACTATGGTAGAACCGCAGAACAGAGAAAAGTGGAGCAAAGCTTATATTGAGAAAGAAGATGACGGCAAGAAGCATATGAAACTTTACGGCCATTCATGCCGAGTAAATTTTATTTTCTTTCTATATTTTATAATTGTTTGGATTTTAAACGTGAATTTTTAAGAAAATCTATCTAACTCGCCTGACTCAGTCCAAAATCGACGATTCAGCCAAGTTTAACTCTGATTTTAAAGCTGACGGAATTTAAAATCAGGCGCAAGTCTGACGGAATTCAAAGCTACTCTGATTTTAGAGGCGTTTTAACTCGATTTTGTTAAGTCAAGGAAGTTTTTAAACTCCGCTCCCGAGTTTATATGTCCTTATCAGTCGACACAATTGAGCGAGGTGGGTGACATCATTCGAGATGCATGATTCGAACAACCAAAAGAACATTAATCGTCAAAATAATTAACCAAAAACAGCAATACCTGGCACTCGGGGGAGGTTGGGGGAATGGTTGCTTTTGAAGAAGCTGCTGAATCTTCCAAGGAAGAAGATGAACAGCAACAGAGAAAAGCCACCCAGAGCGATAGTGGTGACCCGGGCCTCCCCAGGAACATGTTCGAGGATGTCTTTCACTGAATTCATTGCTCTTTTAGAGATGGATATTCGCACTATTTCTGACACAGAATCAGCAGTCTTCTGTGATGAGACCTGTATTTATAGCTGCCTCTCTCAATGGTAATTGTTAATTTGAGAAGAAATGTTCAATGCTATCATTAATAACTGAACAAATAACATTGTCGTCACACATGTTGGGTGGGGGAATTCGAGTTATTAATGTGGCTAATTATTTTAATTCATTTGTCTTTTTTAGATATTTCAAAGAAATTGATAAGAATGTTCAGCTGCGCAAATTAGAAGACATATTTACTATTTATTATGATGATTCATGTATTAGAAAAAGGGATGCTTCCTTGGCATTGGCCACATGCGCATATTTGCCGGCACAATTGTACTGTATGATGGATTTTGTTTTCTTTTTTCTGCAATCGGCAAAAGCTAACTATTCCTTTAAGCATGTAATTAGTGTACAGTAATTGCTTTGATTTGCATCTATATGAGGTGCTGACAGGTGTGGATATGACTTGTGATTAATAATTAATAATTTGTTAAATTAAAATATACTTTTAATTTTCTAACTTTATATAATATTTTAATTTGGCCCCTTAATTTTATAAAGCATCTTTTTAATCCTTCAACTCCAATATCATTTGTTTCAAATTATCATTTTTTTACATCAATTATTGTTATTTCGAAAAAATTAAACTCAATATATCAACATCTGATAATATTTGTCAATATTTAAAAGTTTAATGTAAAAATTTATTGAAATAAAACTAACAGCATTAGGGTTGAAGGATTAAAAAATACTTTCTAAAGTTAAGAGATTAAAATAAAATCTTGTGTAAAGTTAAATGACTTAATGTATACTTTAATCTAATTTGTTATGAATTTTATATCACATATTCTCTCCATTAAAAAATGTAAAGCATTTTTTGAGAAGTTGAACGTTAAAAAATTTAAGGTATTTTTAGTTTTTTGACGTATAATTATTAACTTTTTTCTAAAAGTACCTCTATTGATAATGACTTTATATTTATTGTAAGATGTTTAATAGGGATAAATATAAAAAAATAAAGTTAGTTTAAAAGTAGGACAATATTTTATTAGGGATGAAATTCAATTACAAATGTCTTAGTATTTTTTAATGAGAGAGTAACTTTTGTAATGATTATTGATCATGACTTATTAGTCATTATGTGATTGTTGTATATTTTAATACTCTATTGTTTCAATTCATAATGTATATTTTGATAAAATCAAATGTACCAATTCAACTTATTAGATACTGTTTATAATTTTAAGTTTTTATAAACTTTTCAAAAATATTTTTGTATTAATAAGAAAAAGTAAGGGAAATCTATTTACAAAGTGAAATAATGATTGATAATGTATGAATAACTATCATTAATGAATTTTTTATGAATAATAAAACTTTTTTTTCAAAATATTTTATATTTTAGGATAATAAATCATCTTTAAAAATATCTTATCTTATAAAATTGTAGCAAGACGCAACATCAAATAACGTTAATAGTAGGGTCCATTTGGTTTTCTTCCGTTTCACGTTCAGAAAGCAAAATTTTAGAAAGTTAAAAGTTGTTTGGGTAGAATATTTTGCAGAAAAATACATCCTGAAAGTACATTCAAACAGTAGTTGAAAGTGAATTTCTGAAACGTAACTATTTGAAGCTTTTGAAAAGTGAATTTGAAAAGTAGAATGTTATTTGACCATACTACCCTAAGTTTAATCTCTTAATTTTTTATTTAAAAATAGTTAATTCATTAAAAATATAATTATTATTTTAATAATAATAATTAGGTATCAATTTTTTTAGTATTATAAATTGAATAATTAATCATGTTAATTTTAGCATTAATGTATAATAAAATTACAAATCTTTATTACATTTTAAAATTACAAATCTTTATTAATCTTTTAAAATTACAAATTAAAAAATGCAAATAATTAGAGATCAAATTTTTAGCATTATAGATCAAAATTTATGTTATTTATAATTTTTATTATATTTTTAAATATTTTAAATATATTACATTTGTATAATAAAAATTATAAATTATTATAAATCAATATCCTTTTTGATGATTGTACATTCAAAAATACATTTCACTATCACAAATCAAACAACTTTCAAAAAAATCAAACTAACTTTTGAAAAAATATATCTAAACATAAATTTTGTTACAACAACTAACTTTTATGAAATTGACTTTTATCAAATGAACTTTTGGCAAACTGATCAAACTTACACATAGTTGTTGGGGAACTAAAGAAAAATGTGGAGCATTAAATGTTGCTGCAAATTAAATGCGGCCATGCATGTGTAATCAAAGGTAACGAAGCATTTCACTACCCTTTTCTTTCTACCAATGTGGCCGTCATTGTAAATAGAAACAAATGTTTATGCGCAAGATTCATTGCAAGAACTCATATGAATGTACTCTCTTTGTTTTAAATTATAAGCTATTTTAAAAAAAAAATTAACATTTTAAAATATAAAATATTTTGATAAAAATAAAATTTTATTAATGATAGTTTTTTAATATTACATTTTACATATATTCTCTCTCTTCAATATTTTTTCATCAATGAAGTATTAAATAAATAATATTTTTTAAAGTTTATATTTTTGTCTTGAAAAAGTAAAGTTGTTAAATATATTTAATGAATTTTATTGATATATAAAATTTTATCTAAAAATATTTTATAATTTGATACAAAGAAAGTATCATGTATCATTTACCTTGCATTATGAATATTATTTAATTTGTCTTGATATATCTCATGCCCCGAACATTGCTTATTAATAAATGTTGATAATCTGAATTTGTCACTAGAAATTTAAAAGAACAAACGCCATTAAATGCGCTAAAAATAATAGATTTCTATTAATCAATTGTATTTTAGTCATAGAACAAGGACTCTAGACTAAAATGTATTCTAAAATTCTACTTTCTATAGGGTTGCGCTAGGTTGCATGATTCAACTGACACAAAGAAATATTCATAAATCATTTGCCAACCAAGACTTTATGTTGAAAATGAAATCTAAATGGTACACATTCTTACAAGATATAAACATTACCGATTTTTATTAAGGTTAAAGTATTAATCTTCTCCTAAAGTTTTTTTTAGAGGCGGAATTGGTATTTTAAAATATTTAAAGGTGTGATATTGCTGAACATTTTTGCCTTGCCATGATGAAAGGCCCGCGTTAACCATTAAATCCTCCATTTTTATCAAAATCTGCAGAGTGACAAGTTATGTGGGCTGAGTTCGATTAAAACTTGTTTCCTAGTCATTCCCACGTCACTCACATGGCTTCCAAATTTCTCAACCATCCTATTCAAATCTTCATCGTCCCTCGGCATCATCTTCGTATCCCACCGATCCTTAACAATGAACTCGAAATCTAGGGGAGGAGGATGAGATCTGTCAATGCCCCAACAACCTTGCCATATACAAGCAACACTTGGCAGTTCCTTTCCGCTGGCGAATCCAAACTCATGTTTGCTGATACGACTGTTAAGGTGAAGAAGCCAATTTATAAGTCTCTCACAATTAGTCTTCTTGATCTGGTGATGCTCAGATCTGGTGTAAAAAAATCATTTATGCTCAGATCGGTTGCTGCTTAGATGGGTCATAAGCTTGTTGTCTTTCTTCTTGCTCAAATTGGCGTCATTGCTCCTTCCTCCCTCCTTTGATGTTGATGCAGCCACTCCCTCCTATAAAGCTTCACGTATGTAGCCAGTACCGATGATGAGTCCTAGCTTGTTGTGATAATTTCACTAACCCTTGCACTATGTTTGAAAAAAAAAAAAAAACTAAGGTTTTGTCTTTTTTATTTTGGATTATAAAGTTTGGTTGATGGTTTAAAATCGAGACAACAAATATTTCGAATGAAGCAAGACTATTGGAAGTCACATCCCTAGAAATTGTAAGAATTTAAAACCCAAACTTTTTCATTGGGTATATTGCCATGCCTGTACTCTTTAATTTGATTTCAACTTAGACGATTCCTCACGGTGGTTTTTGCACTACTATAAAAATATTTTTTAATGTTGATAATTTATGTTGGTTTTACAAAAAACTGAAGTGAAAAAAAAAAGGCAATGACAATTTTATAATTTTTTAAAAGAGTTTTCACATTGATTTTCCAAAAAATTGACATAAGAAACATTTTTCACATTAGTTTCAAAATAACCGACATGTAATATAGATACCATGTTGGTTTTGAAAAAAAGCCAACATAATATCTCAATTTAAAATTTAAAAAGTCGCAAACGTGACTCTTCATATCTATTTTTCTTTAGCTTTTTTATATTTATGATGCAATTTTTCTCTCGTCTCTTATTCTCATTTTTCACTTAAAACTTTCACTTTTCTCCTCCCTCCACCATCTGAAGTCTCGTCAATCACTGCTTCATAGCTACCTTGTCGCCCTTCGCTGTCTCCATCGCCGTTTGGGTTCAATAGGTATGCATATGTCATTTTTCTTTCATTTTTAACAGAACTAGAAGGGTAAACATTTCTTCTTCATCTTTATATTTCCCTTTCCATTTGAAATACTTTTCCATTCCTTTTCTACTCTCTTGGCCATCGATGATGCATGGGTCACAGTAAGTGGTACATTCGTGACTGTCAATCTGTGGATCTCCCACTTGTGGTCTCCTCCTTGCTAGTTTAATTTACGAGTGTGGATGTTGCTCATCTTCCATCTTCCTCTTCCACTGAAAAGATTTTGCTAGCTCTTCTACTATAAGTCTTTACTTTTATTTATTTTTTTAAATTTTTATTTTTTGATGTTATTATGATTGATTGATTTAATTGAATATTTGTGCAGTTGGGTATTTGAATATATGAATTTGTGCCTTCAAATATTTATTTTAATTCTCAAATGTATACTTCATTATAGTTGATTTAATTGAATATTTTTTATATTTGAGTATGCAGATTATTGAATTGATTTAGTCAACATTGTTATAAATCTTAAATTAATTATATATTTTTATATTTTTTAGTATTTGAACAAAGAAGTGCGTGTGTGGATTCACATATTAGTTAATTATATGAAGAAAATATTATATTAGTTCAT